CCTATTCTCTAGAGGAAGTGGAAGGGGGGGGGGGGAAAAACCGAGGCCATACTTAGGAAGTCCTTGCCCAGATTGATCTCAGAAGTCTCGAACTCATCTGACCAGGTGGCTGCCCAGGACCGACTGGGCTCATACGAAGACCGAAAAGGGAATGGTGGAGAACTCAAATGTTTGGGGCACCTTGCTTTGCATCTCCCCAAGCAGCATCCACATTCGTGGATTGGCTGCCCCAGCTCGAGGACCTCTCGTCTTAAGTTGGGTCTACCTTTGACATTTAGAGACCTGTGCTGGAGACACCAAGGCTGGAGTATACAAAAGAGTGATAAGGCCTTACTTTTCTCCAGAGTTTCAAAGCCTGATCTGATAGCAAGAGCCACAGACTGGAGGTTAATTGACTTGAATTCTAGTCTCTGTTTCATCAAACTAGGAAGGTTCTCTTGAGCGAGTCATTTAACTCTCCTCTCTATGAAAATCACATATTCCATCCAACCTACCACCAGCTGTTAACTCTTTTCTCCCCCAATATTTGTGAGTCTCTTACATGACAGGCACTGTGGTAGTTTCTCAGTGGGGAAGAAATCAGAATGAGTAAAATGTAGGCCAGGTTTTCTGTAAGCTCATAAACAACAGTGAGAGGGCAGATAAACAACTAACTGCAATGGTATGATCTGAGCTTGACTATCCTGAACAAAACACTACAGGAGCCCAAAAGAAGATCTTGAATGTTCTACTGAAAGTCGCCAAGAGCCAGAAGCTTAAGAAATGTAGACACTTTCTAAAAATACAGTGTCATGTTATATTAAGTGCAAAGGCAGCAGAAAGTGACCCTGCGATGAGTCTGGCCACCAATACCGAACTTCAGACTGATATGGGATTTCGCTGACACCAAATCCAGAAAGTGAGGAAGGAATCGAAGGCACTCTGAGAGTCCACAGGAACAATAAGAAAATACTTAAACTAAAATAAGAATAATAATAGAGCATGAACTCAAAAAGACGATTTCGGAAGGGCACGGTGGCTCACGGTGGCTGTAATCTCAGCACTTTGGGAAGTGGAGACGAGAGGATTGCCTGAGCCCACAGGTTCGAGACCAGCTTGGGCAACTTGGCGAGACCTCGTCTCTACAAAAAATCAGCCGGGCGTGGTGGCGCATGCCTGTGTTTCCAGCTACTTGAAAGGCCGAGGCGGAAGGATCGCCTGAGCCCAGCAGGTCGAGGCCGCGGTGGCTGTGAGCAAAGTGCCACTGCACTCCAGCCTAGGTGACAGAGTGGGACTCCGACTCAAAAAAAA